TTTATTTGATAGGGACTAGCTTGCCCTTTGTGTCTTTTGTTATATTGTGTGAATGTGTGTGTGTAATAGGTATTTGGGCACCGTGCTGGGCTCCTCGGTCATATCCACCACAGTGCTGGGAGACGACCAGCCGCTCAGCACAGCCGTTCACTTCCAGCTCCAGCACAGAGTTCAGGTGAGCCACAACTCTCAAATATCACCCATCACCCATCACTTTTCCTTATACATTATATATATATACTATGTTTATTACAGAATCCCACTGGTACTGTGTATGATCCAGTGTGTGCCTTCTGGGATTTTGATCTCAAGTAAGTACCAATGAACATGATTCGGATTTCTGTGTGTTTAAAGACACCTATGTAAGTATGTTGTGTTTGTGTCTAACTAGTCCTGAAGCCGGTGGGTGGTGGAATACCAAAGGCTGTGATATCGTGTCCAAACATTATGGATACACCGTGTGCTACTGCAACCACACCACCAACTTTGCATTGCTGTTGCAGGTTTATGAAGCCCAGGTAACACTTCTCCGTCCAATTATCACTGTGTGTGTTATAAATATATACAGCTCATGTTCTGTGTGTGTGTGTGTGTGTGTGTGTGTGTGTGTGTGTGTGTGTGTGTGTGTGGTTGTGTGCGTGCGTTCCAGAGGAGCCCGGAGAATGAAAAAGCTCTGCAGGTGCTGACGTTCATTGGCTGTGGAGTGTCTCTGTGTGGCCTCCTCTTCACCTTCATCCTCTTCATCGCTGTGGGGTGAGTCACTACCACAGAGTGCACTCTGTAAAGCGCAGAGGGTGAAAACCCATTCACATCAATATGTGGAAGGGAAACAAAACAGCACCACACTGAAACAATCTTGTGTGTGTGTGCAGTGTCCCTAAATCAGACCGTACCACCGTCCATAAGAACCTGATAGTGGCTCTGAGTGTGGCTGAGCTGCTGCTGATGTGCAGTGACTGGGCGTCTGCTAATGAGGTGAGACTCCATCTATGATTTTATGACCTATTTTCACAGTAAGCTAAACATTTATGATACTTAACTGACAGTATGGTGAACTCACATACATGAGTGCAGAGTTATATTCACACCAACTGTTGGTTCACTCTCTCACTGTCTTTTTCGGCCAAATGTCTCATCTGTTTTCATCAATAATGCTTTGAAACCAGGGGTGGAACTGAACTAGGTATACTGACTAAGTACTTTACTTGCAATCAAATCTGGCGTCACTTCTACTTTACGTAATTATTTCCATTTCACACTAAATTAGTATATTGTGAAGCTGACAATTGAGCGGCCCGACCAAGCAAGGAGGCAGAGGCGGAACGTCCAAAAATATAACCCGGTGTGGGCATGTATTAAACTCGAGCCCAGGACACAGCCTCAATCTTGCTGTTTTTGTGAGCATAGTCACCAGCCACAAGGATCTCACACACACTACCTGCCCCTAACAGAAAGGGCAACATAGCCTAAATACACACACTAATCAGCAATTAGACACAGGTGGGGGGGAGGAGACAACACAGGGCACCAGGTGCACACAATCAACAGCAACAGACAAACTAAAGCACATACAGATGCATACACTACATACATTTCGCCACCAACAAAACTACACAATTCCTAACGGAGGCCGAGATCTATGGCCTCAAAGATCACCTCTGTTACATATATACTGTACATACACATAAACACATTAATGCTTCAATAATTATAAACTAAAATATATATACAGTATATTTTATTTGGAAATTGGGCCATTCTTCATTATCATTTATTTTTATTTTGGTACTTTAAAAATAACTTGTTTCCAAAAGTGTTTAGTATATTCACTTTCACAAATTCCACGTTGGATCATCTGATTCACATCCTCAATACAATCGTGGTTATTCTGTCTGTCACTGTAGTCGTACATAAGAAACATTAGTGTCAGTTCAAGACTTTTGATTTTAAACCCACATCTCTTTTTTTCCAATTCAGTCTCAAAACTAAAATTGTTTGAAATCAACCGATGACCTTTATGTGTTTTGGACACTCACTTTCAGGACACAATTAAACATTTTTGCTTCACTACACTGAAAGACTGAAACTTTGACAATTGACAAACGTTGAAACATGTCATTAAAATCAACATTTCAGTTTTTACAGAGTACTGATGAAGTTCTAACTCAAGAAAAGAGCACCACCCCTTCCCTCTGAGAGATGTGGTTCAGACTCTGTCCCAGCCTCAGGTGTGTGTGTGTGTGTGTGTGTGTGTGTGTGTGTGTGTGTGTGTGTGTGTGTGTGTGTGTGTGTGTGTGTGTGTGTGTGTGTGTGTGTGTGTGTGTGTGTGTGTGTGTGTGTGTGTGTGTGTGTGTGTGTGTGTGTGTGTGTGTGTGTGTGTGTGTGTGTGTGTGTGTGTGTGATCCTGCAGGCAGCGTGCTTCATGGTCACCGCCCTGCTCCACCTCTTCTTCATGGCCTCCTTCTCCTGGATGCTGGTGGAAGGTCTGCTGCTCTGGAGCAAAGTGGTGTCTGTAAACATCAGTGAAGACCGCAGGATGAAGCTCTACTACATCATTGGCTGGGGTAACTCTCATCACTCTTCAGTGACTGGTCTAGATGGAGTTTAAATTAGGACCATTAGTTTCCTGTAGACATGGAATGCATACACATATTTTGTTGCATGGATGAATTCAATTTTCAAAGCCATCATCACAATTGAGTTGTGAATTGGTTCAATAAAACAGTGCTATATAATACAACTATAATATAATGAAATGACCAATTACTTTGTTAAAGTCCACAGTCTGCGTTAGTGTTTCATTTGGTTGTCAGGGTTACTAGGATCGAGTTTGTTTCCATATAGTCATGTGATTCCAAGACCATAGAATATGTTGACCAGGGTGTTTATGATGATCCAATCCGTTTTATTCCTATTACACCAATAGATACATCTCCCCAAATATTTTGGTTTATCCCAAATTGAAAGATTGTTATTATATTGTAAGCTATACGCCCCAGTAATGGAAGTTGTCAGTTCATTTCAGATATTTCAGTTTCTCTGAGAAGATTGAAATTGTGCTGCAAATAAATAAACTGTGATTCAATGTTTTCCATGACTTTGATCATGTTGATCTAATAATCTCTGTGATGAGAGTAAACAACTAAAACACTTCAAAAACATGAACTGCAGTTCCGATCCAATGTTAGTCCAAATGACATTGCACATTTCTTTGTATATACTGTATATCCAATAATACAGTATAATATATCAAACTGTATATGTACCTCACATCACCAGATTCTTACTGCTAAAGCTTCTGTAAAGTTAGACCACATTTCCCAGAATTCTTATCTCTCTTTTTTCAATGTGCTCCTCTTTGGCTTTACCGAGGGGGATTTCTGGAAGTGACTTTCTTTCTGTTAGCCTCAGTGTAGTATTATCAGTGTGTTATCTCTCTGAGGCTGGAGTGAAGCATCTGTAATCCCATCCAATCATCATCTGTGTTTGAGCCCATGACAGTTCTTGCAGTATTTCCAGAAGATTACAAATTGCACTATTCAAATCTAACTTGCTGATGCCATAAAAACTCCCCAGAAGATGATTTTTATTTTGAAAACATTAAACGCGTGCACCCTCCTCAGGACCGAACCTTGTACGATCTGATAGTGGCCGGACGTGTCAATGACCTGTCCTCTATTCACACTCTTAGGGCCTCGTAGCTCTTGTGTTGGGGGTGTAATAAACGTTGCAGCTCACAGGAGTTGCTAATGGAGCTTCAATACTGGTTTGTCCAGTGCAATGATGAATTCATGGTTAACTTATATCATCATCACTGCACTTGTGGTGCATGTAGTGAACCTTAACCCAGTTTAAACATGCTGCAGCTGTCACTGGTAATGTTCCCAAATCCATCTGTGATTGGTGATGTTGCTGAGAACAGTGTGTGAATAAATTCACTAACAATATTAAGGTGTTCCTCTCAGCGCTCCACGTTCTGCTTTAGACTAAATAGAGAAGAGAAGCTAACAGACTAAACAGTCTGCTCCATAAATATGTATTCAAACATGCTGATTCTTGTGTTGTCACAACACTACCAGGGTTCTTTTTATTTTATTGAATTGTTTTTCAGGACTACCTGTTCTCATAGTTGGTGTCACACTGGCCGTATCAGTGGATGAGTACAAGGCAGAGGATCACTGCTGGCTCAACGTGAAGACTGACACCATCTGGGCCTTCGTGGGACCGGTTATATTTGTCTTGGCGGTATGTAATCATTGGGTGTGTGTATTTTAAACCTGCCTCACTGAACTCCAAACCTCCATTTCTTGGATACTTTGTAAATCTGTATGGGTATTCAAATCAAATCCTTAAAACAAAGTTGATTTATGTTGCACAAACAGGAAGTTTGTTCCAGAGAAAGGGAGCTTGGGAGTCCTGATCTAGTTTTGGGGACTCTGGGAGCTACTAACAGACCTGCGCTCTGCTCAGCCCACTCTCACTCAGAACTAGAGCTCTAGAGGGCTACAGAAAATACTCCGGCCCAATTCCAAACCACGCCCTACACCCTACCCCGCCGTGGCGGAGTGACACTTGCAGCTAAACGAGGCTCCCTCCTTTCAGATGGAGGGTGTATACAGCGGCAAGCTTTGGGACTGGAATTGGGCCTCCATCTCTCAACATGCAGATGGAGCTTCTTTATCCCCGTTCTATATATTTTCTTTATATTCCATTTTCTTATCTCAGAAAGGTCAGGAGCAGTGAAAACTGTGATTAGTGTGATTTCCTGCCTCCTGAGTAGGAGGGTCATGGTGCCCTCCTCCTCATGTGAGGTGGAGGCTAAGTGGATGTGCAGGCCTGCTCTGAGCTGGGCGCCATGTTGATGCTGCTTTCCTCTGCCTGCAGGTCAATGCAGTTGTGCTGTGTCGGGTTGTCATGGTGACCGTTTCCAGCGCACGTCGTCGTGCTAAGATGCTCAGTCCAAGCTCGGCATCAAAGATGCAGACCTTTGACCTCACCTGGTGAGATACAATGGATTCTCTACCTCTCTCTGCCACTCTCTCTCCTCCTGCTTTTTGTGCACTCTCAGTTTTTCTCTCGAGCGCCCACTCTCTCACACTCTCACACTCTCAACCTCTCTCTCTCTCTCACACACACACACACACACACACACACACACACACACACACACACACACACACACACACACACACACACACACACACACACACACACACACACACACACACACACACACACACACACACACACACACACACACACACACACACACACACACACACACAGACTAGCTGTTTCCATTTTGCTGGAGCCAGCCACAGTCAATAGAGACAGTGTGAGAGATTTGGAGACCAGGAGTCAGCTGTGGGAGTTCTGAGGGCTTATCAGCTTAACACCTGGTCCCAACACAACTGTGTGTGTGTGTGTGTGTGTGTGTGTGTGTGTGTGTGTGTGTGTGTGTGTGTGTGTGTGTGTGTGTGTGTGTGTGTGTGTGTGTGTGTGTGTGTGTGTGTGTGTGTGTGTGTGTGTGTGTGTGTGTGTGTTTTGTCTCTACTGCATGCAGCCATATAGCATTCTGTTATTTAATAATTCTACTTTCATGTTATATCATTGCCCTGCACAACATGAACAGTGTGTAAAAATGCATGTTCAAACAGTGGAGTTATTGTTGTAACTTAAACGTTACTGTCCTCCTTACTGAGGGAGGTTTGAAGGCTAAATGTACATCCTTCATCTTTGTTATAGAACCTTGAAAAAATATTTCTGATCAGTTCCATGTTTTGGTATTTCACCACATCTTACAGAAATATTGTGACTAATGCTTTCTAATCACAGTAAAGGATAAGGCCATGCCGTCCTTATTGTCAAACACTCCTGTAAACATTCAAACCAACCATGTATGTTTTAATCTGCCTCTCTTTATTTTCCAACAACCCATCCGGCCTGGTTCTCAACCTTAAACAATACTTCTCTCTTAGTCAGAAGTCTTTCAAAATGTGTCATACTTAATCATCTCTTAATTAGAAAAGTCTCAGCAATTTCCTAGAACAGCTAGTTACCTCTTTTTTTTGTCAAACGTTGCTCCAAGGAGAGAAACAATTTAATTTTGAGGCATTATAATGTCTGTCTTTTCACTGAATTGTCGTCTTTAAAAGGGTACTCACAACAATTCCGCAACAACTTCATCTTCACCTGTTGCACTTGTCATTTCAACGTTAAAAACAATAAAACGGCATGAATTGCTTCGTGGCATTCTTCTAGATCCTCTGTCTCGAGCCAGTTAACTAGCGGGCCTTCTAGAATACCCTGGAACCGAGGGAAACTCTGAAAGAATACGCCCATTGGCTACAAGTCAATATATGATTGGTTGATCAAACTGTCAGTCCAAACGTACGCTCTCATTCAGTGCAACGGCCAGAGCATTCTATCAAGGATGTAGAATACCTTGGTTGAAGGACATTCTACCCAGAGACCCAGAACAAGATCTGATTGGTTGCTTTCTTTTCTAACACAAAACCACTGAAATGCGTAGTGCATGGTCCGAGAAGGACAAACAAATCAACGTAACACTGTAATATTACAGATCAACAACACGGATACGATTCTCATTTATTCCTTTTATATACATTTTATTTATATAATTAAATCGATTTTTTGTTTGTTTTATCTGAGTGTTCCAGGGTATTCTCTGAATACCTTGAAGGCCCTGACGGTTCACCACTGCTACAGTGTGTGTTCATGGTAATCAGTGTTTGGTGTAACGCGTTATAAAAGTAACGGAGTTACAGTAATGTATTACTTTTTGCTGTAACAAAGTAATGTAACGCATTACTAATGAAATTTGGGTAATATACTACCCGTTACAATTCTCAGTAAGAAACTAATTTTAACCCGAAATGAAATGGTGTTTTGTTTTTTAAGAAATCACTAACATCGCGAGACATTCCGACACCAGAGAAAAATTGTGCCGGTAGATTAGTAAGCCTGGTGTTTACGTAATCAGTCAGGCACATTATCCCGCTTATTACATGGCCAGATACTAAACAAACTAAGGAATCGACTCCCAATATTAATTGAAATGATTTTATTGACTTAAAATTATCGTATTTCTTCCACTAAGAAAAAAACAACTCCGTTCCACGCATGGATGTATAATAAGAACTGGATACAGCGTAGGAGGTGGGGTCTCGTTCTTTCCTATGAGAGATGCTCATTGGCGCAGGAAGACAAAATGGCCCAACTTTTGAGAGAGCGAAACGTCACAGATTACCCGTCATGCCTGGCTGTCAGAGCAGAAGAACCCGTATGTGCAGTCACAGAGCATGCACCCCTTAAGCCCCGCCCCCCGAGCTCCCACTCTCGGCTCACTAGAAAGAATAGAGAGAGAAAATAAATCTAGATTCGGCTTTTAGTGCATTTTACAACTTTAAGGACCGAATGATTCTAATAAGGGCTATAGAGAACCGCAGTGACTTGTCCTAAAACCCGGAAGTAAGTTAGCATTTTTAGCACTCCCGGTTCCTTCAACAAAAAGCAATGCAATTTCTCCATAGGATTTTGGAAAATAGCTCGAAATAAGGTCTGTGTTTGATACAAATTGAAGAGACAGATCACGTTTTGTTCTACGACATTAAATACATCAGCAGTGACCCCGCTGGTGATTTCTGAAGAGTTTACGTGTCTGAAAAACGATGGTTGTTACCAAGTGGCTGAATAGGACTACAGAAATTGTCGAGGCCGTTTTACGTCATTACACCGAACACGTAAAACACTCCCGCTAAGTTAGTTTGCCCTGTTCTGCTTGAAAGCAAGTAGCTGCCTCCTGCAAACTGTTCAAACAAACACTTCAACTTGTACCATTTAGAGTCTGTAGTTTTGAATATGGATCTTAAGTCGGCGTGACGTTGAAGCAGCGACCCTGCGTTCCTTTATAGCATAACGTTAGCATTTTGCTTCTGGCGACTAGATTTATTAATCAAAAATTATAAAAGTAGGGTAGACATATGGATATTATCCGGCTGCACAAAACGTGATCCGTCTCTTAAATGTGTCTCAACCACAGACCTTATTTCCAGCTATTTTCCAAAATCCTTTGGAGAAATTGCATTGGTTTTTGACGAAGGAACCGGAAAGAGTTTACTTCCAGGTTTTAGGATGCGTCACTGCGGTTCTCTATACAATAGTTCATACTGGGTTGTTTATTTAGTTAAAAAAAAAGTATCCACCGATTTACAGACGTCTCTTTCCCCATGTTAGTCAATGGGAAAAAGTTGTTTTGGGCCGGGTGACGTCACGGACTGATACGGAAATTGCAGTACGGCCGTTTGGACACAACGAATATTGGCACAGAGTCCGGCGCACTTCCTGGGGGCTTGGTTCCACGGCGCACCAACGGCTGGAACTGCGACAACAACAACTTTATGGCAGCACTGTCCAACTCTGTTCACAGTTTCTGATCCACTAACAAGTCCTTAAACACTACAGAGCCCATACCGTGTTCCTGTTAGTGTTCACTTCTTGTCTGTCTTCTTCTGTTCATTTATCTGTTTGTTTGTTTGTAGCCTTTATTTAACCAGGTGAAAGCCCCTTGAGATCAAAAGATCTATTTTTCAAGGGTGACCTGCAGGACATTAGTTACACATGTAACATAAAAACAACAGAACAACAATAAGGATGACATACAACATAATGTACAGGGTACAGTTTACAAACTCTATTTACAGAGACAGGTACCATGAGTTTCAAACAGCATGTCACCCAGCCGAGTTTTAAAATGATGCAGGGGAACCAAAGTGCTCAGTTTTAAACATGTTTGCAGACTGTTCCAAGTTAGTGGAGCTGCACAACTAAAAGCTTTCTTCCCTAAGACAGTCCTAGCACTTGGCACATTTAATAAAACAACATCATGAGATCTCAGGCAATACGTACTTTCAATTCATCGAGAGATCAGAGAGCAGATATAAGATGGTAGTTTACCCAACATGGCTTTATAGATGAACATGTACCAATGACTGAGCCTCCGTACAGTTAGTGAAGGCAGACCTGCCTTGGCATACAGGGTACAGTGATGAGTAAGTGTTTTACAGTTAGTAACAAATCTCAGGGCACTGTGATAGGCGGCATCTAACTTTTCCAGGCAATGGGCAGGTGCATTCATATAGATCAGATCACCATAGTCCAGCACAGGTAAAAAGGTCACAGAGCCTTTTCCTGGCCTCAAGTCAGAAACAGGACTTGTTTCTGAAAAAGAAACCTAGTCTAACCCTCAGCTTTTTAAGCAGATTAATGACCTGAAGTTTAAAAGTAAGACAATCATCAAGCTAAATACCTAGGTATTTATAACAGGTAACCACTTCAAGTACTTGTCCTTGCATAGTAACAATATCCAAAACAGTGTCTGTAATCTTTTTAGCTTTAGAAAATAGCATTACCTTGGTTTTATCAACATTTAAAAGAAGCTTTAGTTCAGAGAGCTGAGTCTGTATAATGTTAAAAACAGCCTGTAATTTAACACCAGCCTCCTTAATGGAGGGACCTGCACAGTACATCACGGTATAACGCATAAAAATGTAAAGTAGCTTCATCCACATTTTCACCTAAACTGTTGATATATATGGAGAATAAAAGTGGACCTAAAACAGAACCTTGAGGAACACCATTAGCAATGTTTAACCACTCAGAAGACAGCCCATCAAAGTGAACACATTGGGACCTTTCAGAGAGGTAGTTCACAAACCACCCACTGCATGGCTGGATATGCCAATACTGAGTAGCCTCTGCTTTAAGATGTGATGATCGACGGTGTCAAACGCTTTGGAAAGGTAAATAAATAGAGCTGCACAACTCTGCTTATTATCTAAAATACTCGTAATGTCATTCACCACTTTCATTGTCGCAGTGATGGTGCTATGTTGACATATATAGACATAGATAGATATCCTGTCTAAACATCAGTCAAAGGACTGATGTTTAGACAGGATATCATTTTTACATAAAAACT